AAAAAAAAAAAAAAAAAAGTCTTGACTTTTTCAACATTTGGGATTCTGCTAATGCCAATAACCTCCTGCCTTACTATAGACCCATGTCCCTGTCACCTCCCATAGCTAAATGAGCTTCCTCCTTCCCCACAAGGTCTTTCCCCAGTCCCAGCAGTCTCCAGCTCTGTATGCTGCAGCCATTTCTAACCATATCATTCCTTTGGTCAGTGTGGTCTCGTGACATTTCCTCAGTTCAGAATCATTAATGCATCATGTTTGCGATCCAACAAGATGTTCCCTAAGGACATCACGGATGCACCTATCAGTTAATATCACCTGGCACCTCCTCATACATTGTAGGGTCTCAGCAAATATTTCCTGAGCTACGAGTCAGTCAAAGGGGACACCGATGGAAACACCCACCCACCTCCAAAACAAGGTGGAAGAAACAGGATAGAAACATCTTTACTTCTGCCTACACAAGATGAATGTTGAGTAGGTAGAAGAGAACACAGACATTAAAAAGAAAATGATTTTCAGCATCCGAATGGCCTTCAGGATCTTTCCCATTGAACAGTACTCATGACAACTAATGGCTGCCTCATATCAGCCCCTGCGCAGGTTCCCAGGAAGAGAATCCATTAGGAAAGTCCACAATTCATTTCCGTTTGCATCATAATTAGTGGAGCTTTCTCTGCCATCCATAACCTATGGATTAGCATATAAGTGGGGCATAAGTCCCAATCTGTATAAAATGCTGTTTTATACCCGTAAAGACTTGATGTCTTAACTTGACCAGTTAAAATTTTCTAAAAAAAAGTTCTGAACAGGTTGTCCCAGTTACCACTGCCACCTTCTCCCAGTCGAGGTCCCCAGTGTCTACACAAAGGTAAGAGCAAGGGACTGAGGAAGGGGGGAAGAAGACTGAGAAGCTGCAGAGCACCTCAGAGAATTAGAACCACTGCACCCCATTTTACAGATGAGAAGACTTCGTGGTGTTTTGGAATGCACAAATGGATTTGGTCAAAATCTGTCTGAAAAGCCTCTTCCATTTCCTTGGGTGACCTAATCTTGCCAAACTTTATTTTGTACAAAAAAGGGAGAAATAAACCATACTCACAAGATGGTTTTGTGGGTGAAACGGGATAAGAAATGTGAAAGCACCGACCCCTGCAGGCACTCAGAGGCTATGGAGTAGAAAGAGGGACCAAAGCTGGTCTTCTTCCCTCTTGTACCCCCGGGATTCTTTGAAGAAAGAGGCATTCATTGAGCTAAGACCTCCTGTTCATAACAAAAAGGACGCCTGGGACAGCGGGAAGCTGCTGGAGAAGGCAACAAGCACCAAACAAAACCACAGTTGCCATCTGTTCTTTGCTTTCTTCCTGAGTGTCTCTGGACAAAGACAAGTTAACTCCAGGACACTTTCTCAGTCAGCTGGGCAGGCTGCTGGAAAGCACAGGGATCACCGGGAGGGCAGTGGCTCCTGCCCCAGCTGGCTTTCCAGGGCTGGAAGGCAGTGACTGCCCTGCTGGCATGAAACACCCTCATCTCCCTCTGCTCACACCAGGCAGCCCTGGGCAGAAATACTGGCTCAGCATCTGCACACATGTAGAGAGAAGCAATAAACAGGTTATTGCAAGATTGAAAGGATGTGGCTTTTCTTCCCTGCACTGCTGGGGATCAAACCCAGCAAGTATTCTACCACTGAGCTACATCCCCAGGCCTTTTTATTTGGAGGCAGATCTTGCTAAGTTACTTAGACTGACCTTGAACTTGGAATCCTCCTGCCTCATGCTCCCCAGCAGCTGAGATTACAGGCCTGCACCAAGACTGGGATGTGGCTTTTGAACACATACGCCCCATAAAGCCCTTTGTCCCCCATTGGCCTTCCGAGTGGGACACCTTCCATCAAAGCAAGCAGCCTTGGGGAACTTGGCCCCCAGCCTGGCCAGGAGACGGCCACATTCCTGGGGGAAATCTACTCTCCCTTCCCTGAGTGGCTGCCTCTTGCCCAGCCTAGCCCTTCACTGCACCTTGCTGGGTTCTGGCAGAAGCCAAGCAAAATGACAAAGTTGGCCCACAAAGTTAGAGCAGTTCAGGCGACAGCTATTTAACAGCTCAGAAGGGGCTGGGCTCAAAGTGCTTCCTTTACTCTAGGGAGCTGCATTTTTCTAAGATTATTATTCCTTGGGCTGGCGGCTCAGCCACTCAGCGTCATTTCCCCTTTGGGTGGGAAAGTTCTTTCCTTTCTGCATGGATTTTCATTATGATTTCACCCCCCCCCCCCGCCCACACACACTTCTCATCTGCAGATCTCACAATTAGAGCATGGCCTATGGATTGGAAAAAAAATCAAAGCATATAAATTTAGTACTCAGTTTAGAACTGTGGCTCGCGGAAGCCCCAAGTAGTAGGAAACCACATAGAAAAAGGAAACTTCTAGGTCTCAGCCTACTTGTCACTACTGGATGTAACACCAGCAGGAAACAGCAGCTGAGCAGCTAGCAGAGTAGCAGGTGGGTGAAAAGCCCAACAACGGCCACACAAACAGGGGGCTGTTCTCCATGGACTTAAGACTCCAACCTAGGCAAGCAGCCTACATACGGGATGCAGTTAGTCAACAGTGAGAAACTTGAACTCTGCCAGGAAGAGAAAGAGGGCTAGAAATAGCCCACCGGGAGGAAAAGGACATCTCTGGTCCCTGCTGCTGACATGGTGGATTTGGAAGGCCAAGCCATGAGGGCCAGGCACTGACCACTGGAATCCCACAGCAGGAAGGGGCTGTGGGCAGTTTCCCAGACTCTCGGACGAAGCATACTCTTTGCAGGCCTCAAGGCTCCCTAGCAGCAGGAGTACCCCTCCTGAATGCAAGTGCATGAACGCAGAGCCCGCGTGACCATCTGTCAGGGTGCTGGCACCCCTGGAGGACAGGACACTGTACACCCCTGGAGGCCCTTTCAGCCCTAAGACCATGCTATGCTGCCTTGTGAAATAAGTGCTGGTAATGCCTAGCGATGCACGGTGGTCGATCCAAACAGGCCAAGGAAGTCCTCAGGTTATTAGAGAGCTTGGGCTCACTGAAGTCACCTAATGCTGCTCTATTGTGTTGTTTCCTTGTTCTCCCTAAGTGACACTGCCCAAAATAAGCACAGATCTTGCCTGGATCTTCAGCCATCTCAGACACCTGAGTCTTTCATCACATTCACTTCCCCAAATGAATCAACAGGAAGGTTGAGGAGCAAAGACCGGCAACATTACCTGCAGTGGCAGTGAGGAAAATCTAGGTTAAGGCCCCGATTTTTATTTTCCTATAACCCAAGTGCCTCATGGTCCCTGCCTCTTTAACTCCCACTCTCTAGGCTATGTGGGGATTCCCAGCCAGGGAAGGAAGGAGACTCCTGTACCAGCCTCCTTCTACCAGGGGCCCCCAAGTCAGCATTCCTCCCACCCATCCCTTCACCAGAGCAGGCTCGCAGCTAACAATGCCCTACTGCCAGCCAGAGACACCTGCTTTCTGTTCCCGGATGTGCCTCCAAAATGTCACCAAATACCATACTGTGTCACTCAGCTACTTTTCTACTGCCCAAAAGTTACTAAATGTTCTTTTTCGTGTTCTTGATTCCCCCACAGAAACTAACAAAAACAATGTTGTAAGAAATCTAAAATAAGCTTCTTTCTCCTCTCCCTTTCTTACTGTCCTCAGTTTCTCAAAATTAGGCCAGTGGCTTAGAAATGCACAAGGACGAGGCAGTCTGCAACGATGGGCGTATGGCTGAATATGGACTGAGGATTTACTGGGGGAAAAAAAGCTTTTTCTTATTTTATCTTAGGAAATATCCCTAGGCTGGCCCAAGCACACTAATTCAAATACCAGAAAAAAAAAAATAGTAGAAATACAACCCAACTGAAATTTGGGGAGATGAATCTTGTCAACCTTCATCTGAACTCTAAATCGGTGCCTGTGTAGCAAGAGCCAGGTCTCTCCAGGATGTCCCTTAGAGTGTATGCCCCGTGTCACCGACAGGAAGGCACAGGCTGACACCACCACGCTGACTTTGTTCCATGCACTTTCCATTATTTTTACTTTCATTTTGTCACATCCTCACTGGGAGGCTGGGAGGAACAGGGGCCATCACTTCCATTTTACAGATGGAGAAACTAAGACCAAAGGACAGGACATTCCCAGAGCCATTACGACATGCCGGTTAGAATTCCAAACAGTCCTTGGTATTTTGTTTGAGGCCAGAAAGAGGAGCCAGATACAAAGGCAGGAGGAGACCTCTGCCTGGGAGTGCCTGGGAGCGCCTGGGCCCGCTGGAGGAGCAGCTTGCAGGGAGAGACAAGGGAGGGAAAGGTTCAGCGGCCGCGCTGGGCCATCTGCTTTGAGAGGCTCAACCTCGCTCAGCTTTTTAGGGCTGAACCAGTAGATCATGTGGTTTCAAACTACATCCTTTGTCCTTTTCACATTCTCAGTGTTAGGACCATTTAAAAATCCGTTATTTATACTGGAAAGTCCGGCTCTGTAACTGGAGAAACCAGTTCTGTATCTATAAGGAGAAAAAATTAAAAAGACTTGGGGAACCACGGCCGGAAGTTATCACCCACGAGGTGCAGAGGCGCTTTGGGAGGTCTTTCTCTTCCCTTTTCTCGAAAGGAGTGGGCGGCGGTTGGAGGCACAAGGGGTGCCCCAAGGCAAAGAGAAGTTTTCTTTCAATGCGAGGGGGGGGTGTGGTGTGGTCACACCCCCAGTCCGGCCACCAGGGCGCGCGTCCCTTCCTCCCAGCCCGCCCTCCGGGTCCCCCGCGCGCAGGGCTGACGGGGTCACGAGCCGGGGTCGCGCGTCGTGGAGGGGCCCAGGGCTGGGGATGCAGCCCCGGGACGCGCCCACATCCTCGGCCCGCTCTCACTCACCCGCGCTCGCGCCTCGGGGAAGCC